AAGGTGGTTCTATAAAGTATTGACTCAGGAGGGCCAAATACACATGCACGCCTCACTTTTCAGATATTTCTTTATAAAAACTGGAAACCAATAATCGTTTTTCCACTTCCATAGATTATTTTGGACATTTGCACTCCAGACCACTAGTTGGCGACAATGTGCTGGATTTTCTCATTTAAAGAAGGAGAAAGGAAGTAATTTATATCAGGAATTCGACATGTTTTTGTTTTCTTCTGGTTTCTAAATCAAAAACTGTCCATGTGTGCTTCACAGCAACCTTCTCTCACACTAGTTCCTTCATAAAAGCGCATTTGTTGTCTCTTTGTCTGCGCCTTCTTTTTTGGTCCATGGTGTTTCAAAGCCTCTTAAATGGGCAGATTCCGCGGACTGTTTGGACCATGAACTGGGCCTGTTCCTGTTAGAAGAGGTGAGACTTTTAGTTATATGGGTAAAGTGAGCATAGAGACCCGGCTGCAGGTGGTGAGCCTCAGCCAGCAGGGACTCTCTCAGGCTAAGATCGCCCGGCAGACGGGGGTCTCCAAGAGCGCCATCCAGGCTCTGCTGCAGAAGCACAGGAAGACGGGCACCGTGGAGGACCAGAAGCGCAGTGGCCGACCGCGCAAGCTGAGCGGGGCGGACGAGAGGCACATAAAGCTCATCTGCCTGCAGAACAAGAAGATGTCCAGCAGCGACATCACCTCCGAGCTTGCGGTGACAAGCGGGACCCTGGTGGACCCGTCCACCGTCAGGAGGAGCCTGGCCAGGAACGGCCTGAGCAGGAGGCGAGGAGAGAGAAGCAAAACCCGCTTGAGTGATGAGAACAGTAAGGAGGAAAACCACAAAAAAGACAGTGATGAACTAGAGAAGGAGCTATCTGCTGATGATTCAGGAACAGAGATCACAGACTCCGACAAAGTTACTGTAGATGGCATCAAGAAGGAGAGTCTGGACCCTTCAAGTTCAAGTGAAGAAGCATAGCAGCCTCATTGTAGGTTTTGTCAGACAAAATAAATTACCAGCTGATGGGTCAGTCTGGACTTAAAGAGACAGTAAATGGTAAACTGTGTTGAAACAAAAACCAACCATGGTTCAGATATGTAATGTAAGCTCATATTTATAGAGTTCTTATGCCAAAAAGTGTCAATCACTCTGCTACATGCACTAAACAGCAACAAGAAACTGTGAAGAAAAACTATGAGTGCCTGGAGAAACATGTTCCATTATTTTCTGTGTTCATCCGAACAGGAGACGTTTGTTTCAGCAGGCTAAAATGACCAAAAATAAAATAAACCAAACATGTTTGGAGAGTTGCTTTTTGAACTGTTTATAAAGGGAAAGGGTCAGGTTTATGTGACATCACTTCCTCTGTGTTCTTGCTTATGCCAGAGTTTAAACTGTATGGATCAGTCCAAAACTATTCATACTACTGGTAGATTTAGATCTAATGTAATCTTTAGATTTACCAGCATGTTTCTTCTGGCTGGAAGGAATATTAACATTTGGAGTCCTGGAGGTGGCTGAAGATTAGAGTGATAGCCAGGAGTCACTCTAAATACATGAAATTGTTTTATTTTTGCAGAAAATTGCAATATCATGATTTACCCACATTTTCCTTAAACTTCTCTTACCTTTCTCAAACCATGATGTGCCCTCTACTGTTATTTAGCTTTAGCATCTCGGTCACTAAGATCTATATCAGGTGTAGGTAGGGATAAAATATGGTGAAAGCCCATCCAACTCGCCGCATATATTATCGCCAAGCGAAGTTTGCAACCTGAACTATTGTAGCCAACTGAACATTGCGTCCAAACAATCCTTTGCGATTTTGCCCACATTCAATATATATGATGAAATTTGCGATTTGATATATTGTACAGCTCTGCCAGAAGGCCTTCCAACTTGGAGCTTATCACAAAAGATGAATGGTCAAAATACCAGTGGAAAAAAGCACAAAGCTGGTCAGTAATTTTAAGAAGGGTTTGGTTGCTGTGATGCCAATAAAAGCTTTTACACAGATTTTTGAGAACAGTATAAATAAGCATGTCATATCTGTGTTCAAATCTAAATAAAAACAGTTTATTTTTTTCAAAAATGATACCCTTTGTACATGTCTTATGTTTGTCTTTTGGTAGATGCCTGGTTGAAAGAAAACAACTGAATCTAAATCCACTAGGGGTATGAATAATTTTGGGCTTACAGAAATAAGGAATGGGCAGCCATGGGAATGTCATGGTATGATAACCTTGAGTAAAAACAAAATGGTTTCACTGTATCATGGTATTTACACAAAAGTGTAAAATAAAAATAACTTAACTTCTATTAAAACCAGCTTGCCATGACATTGAAATATTTCCAGGCAGGGAGATTTGTTCTTCTAGTGAGGGAAAGGGGTAGTAGCCTTATTTCAGCCAGCTCACTGGCGGTGCACAGCAACATGTGGGGGAGGGGTAACACTGTGTTACTCTGTGTTCATTACAGCCCAGAGAAAACTCCGGTCACTTCAGCACTCTCCCTGGCATCTTATCTTTTTAGAAAAAGGACTTCAGGCGACCTCAGGACTGGTATGACAAATTTTTGAGATTTTAAAACCACACGTTTTTAAAACTTCGGTGTGTATTGATACTCAGCCAATTAGCAAACCCAAGAACATAACTGACACAGTTTTTGTGAACAGAGACTTTTTTCAATAATTTATAGTACAGTGAAACAAATTTTAACCCTCGAGGTCCCAGACTTTGTCATAATCTTTAAAAGTGCTATAGACCAACAGTTCTCTAGGGTTTCTGAATGAACATTTTTCATTGAACCATGGCTGCCGTTTCATGAGAACTGATGTAAATTCTGTCATCCAGGACATAGCAATTTCAGGTGCTTAAGTAGAAGGCAAATTAACTTCATTCAAAAGAGAGATCTTCTGATTTCTTAGTTATGGTAATAGAGTGCCTTGAGCTTCTCACATTTCGTCATGTTACAAACATAAACTTTAGTGCAATTTATTGGATTTGTTTGCAAAGAGACAGATTTTCTTGTCATCTTTTAAACTGGTCCTAATCACATACATTTCTTGATTTTCATCCAGTTCTTGATGGATTTACTGGTATGTTTTGGGTCATTGATGCTCCAGGGTTCTGCCACAGCTTTAATTTTTACAGATGGTCTCACATTTTCCTCAAGCTCCCTCTGATTCACAGTTTAATTCTTTAATGTTGAACAGAAAAGGTCCTGCTTCTGCAAAGTATCCCCATACCATGAGTTTTTTTTCCTGGAATGCTGTATTTCATTTATTCCAAGTATGTCCTCTGTTCCATTGTCCAAATAATTCAATTTTAGACTCATCTGTTCAAACAACATTATTTCAGATAGCAAACTTAGCTCTGGCCATGTTTCTGTCAGAGCAAATATTTCCTCCTTGCACACCACGCTTGGTAGCTAAACTTGTGCAGGACTCTTTTGCTTTTTACAGTCATGCACCTTTTCCCCAAAAAAAGTTAAGGGGAAAGGGGCCTATTTTAGGGTTCAGTTTATGATGATGACAAGGGGGGTTTTTGGAGTTTATCTTAGGGATTCTTTTGGTAGTCTTCTTGGGGGGAGCCAGAGGCCCCAAAGGGTTTTTGGGCCAGTTTTTTTTTGGTGTTAAATTTAAGTTAAATACTTGTTAAATTGGCACATCCCTGTTTTTCCATTCTTTTTTTTTTTTTTGTTTTATTTTATTTTATTTTATTTTTATTTTTTTTTTTATTTTATTTTTATTGTTTTTTTAAATTTTATTTTATTTTTTTTATTTTAATTTTTGGGGTTTATTTGATTTTTATTTTATTTTTAAAATTTTTTTTTATTTAATTTTGTATTTTATTTTTTTTGTTTGTTTTTTTCAGAAAGGCCCCCGGGCACATTTAGGGTTTTTGGCCCCTTTTGTTGTAGTTGTGGCTAAGGAATTACGGTGATACTGCACTGTATCAAAAGGAGGGATTTATCACCCACACTCAGCATTTCCTACAAGCCTACTAAAGAGATATGCTCTTGAAACCTGCTTATTGTTGAAATAAAACATTCTTAACTTATCTGCCTACCAGGTCCTTGTGTAGAGCACATATTTAGCAAGGTCTGGCCTGAAAAAGAAGGATTTCAATAGTATTATAATGCTTACTGTGTGAAGGTGTTAAAGTCAGGTAACTACTGTAAGCACAACAGGAATTTAATCAGACTCTAGAGACAAAGTAAGCACAAACACAAATTTAAAAAGTGAGATTTAAGTTGGTTTGTTGGTCTTAGACATAAATAATTAATTACCTTAAAATGTGTTAAAACCTAAAATTTCTAAGACATCTTACAAAACTTAGATTAGTAGAAAGTCTGGCTAATTAGACACAAAACACAAAGCAGTGGGATGAATCAGGATTTAATCAGGAAGTGTCTATGAATGTGTTGAAGATGACCCTGTAGACCGTGGTGGATGTGGGGTGATGGTGCCTGTTCCTGTAATCTGTGAGAAAGCTAATGAGTCCAGGCAGTGGCAGGACAACATGCAGCAGCAGCATCTGTTACTGTAATGTGTGTGATATATGAATCTAGGTAAAAGTAGGACCAGGGGAGGATGGTTTTAATTTGAGATCTGCCCTTGAATCTCACATGATCTTTATTGTGGTGCCATCTCCAGCTAAAATGACCATGTCATTGCCTAGGAATAGCATGTGTTTGTCTCAGGAAAATTGACTGGATCGAATAAACTTTCTGAACTTTGTTTGACCGCATGTACTGGGTGCCGATCCCTCAAAGGAATGTAAGGAGAGGTCTTCAGAGAGATCTGTCTGTATCTTGTATTTTTTCTATTTTCCACAGATACATCTGAAGAGTTTTTTTTTGTTTTTTAGAGACTAATTTGTTCCCGAGGTGAATAAAAGCATTTATGTCCCATGACAAAGGCACCGAGTTTGATTGTACCAACTGAGGAAATGGTTACATCAATGTGTGCATAATTTGTTTTGGAAAGTTAAGCCAGTTGCAAGGTGGAGCAGTGGTTAGCACTGTTTTCTTGCAATGAAAAGGTCATAGGTTCAAATCCCTGCCTGAGGTCTTTTTGGATGTTCTCCCTGTGCATGCCTGAGGTCTTCCCGGGTACTCTGGCTTCCTGTCAGAATCAAAAAACATGACTGTTCGGTAATTGGTCTCTCTAAGTTGACCATGTGTGTGACTGTGTGCCTGCATGGTTGTCTGTCCTGTGGGTTTCTATGTTGCCCTGCAATGGACTGATGACCTATCCAGCGTGTACCCTGACTCTCACCCAGTGAGTGCTGGAGATAGGCCCGAACCCCACCACAGCCCTGCAAGAATAAGCTGGAAATCTGTCTGATATAAAGAGATCAGAAGATTCATATTCCAATCAAGTTGCTATCCAGGCGATGGTGAAAACCCACAGAGGTTTTCCAAGGAGACAAATTTCCTCCTTGTTTGTTTCAGTCAACTGCAACAGTTCATCATATTTTCCCCGTTATGGACGAAGGAGAAGGTGACTGTTTAGAGTGTTTGCGGATGCGCGACACTTGCCCCGCATAACTTCATCCCTTCCTAGAAGGAAGCCCATTCGCCTGCACCCCTTTTCCAATAGGATTCGCCACCAAGTAAACTTGTTTTGTTTCCTATTTTTGGACTCTAGTCTGGGCAGGGAGAGGTATCGATTGTGCGACCTAGTATCACCACTAGTTAATCCAATGTATTAACTTGCATGCAATATATATGTTTGAAGTTTATGCTAAACTGTTTGAGTAATGTTGTACTCTGAATCGCGGCTGCGCAGCAAAGTTTAATGCCAGTGCGTTCACCGTGTTTTTGTTCAACCGAGTGCTGACTCAGTTGGAGTTAAAGTGGACTTAGGCTGCGAACTGAGCCTCGTGTTCATCTCCATTGTCTCACTGTTTAAGGCAGGTAAAGAGCTAAGCTGCTTCCGAAGGCGCTGCCTATGTGGAAAACTCTCGGCTGCTCATTAATTTTGTTGCCATATTCCAAGTCAATCCGAAGCTTTGATCCATTCCCTCTCAGTCCATAAACTTTGATCACCATCTACACTCAGTACGCATCTTTATTTCTGATTGTTAACTTACCCCCTTTAGTTAAATAGTGAATGCTTAATTCGGTGAACGTTGTTGGACCAGAATATTTGAATGTAATAGCGACTATTGGTTTAATAAATTTTCACATAAAAAAGAGACAGCGTTTGTGTTTATTTTGTGTAAGTGATTATCTGTCAAAATAAGGTTGTTGTTTCCCACCATTCGGTAAAACGGTTGATAACACAGCGGCATTTACCATGGCTTTGGTTAATATTTATCAGTTATTAATGACAATTAACTAATCGTAATTATTAAGTGCTGTGAGCCCAATAATCAAACACCAGTGTATCTGATTTCTATTTGTAAAAAAATGATTTTTGGTTAGAATTTAGTACTTCTGAATTGTGATTTTTAATTATAATTCATGATAAATATTTATAATCAATAATCATAAATCCTTACAGGCCCGTGGAGCCGCATGCGGGCCCGTCCATGAAAGTTATGAACAGGACCGGTAACAAAGGGCAGCCCTGCTGGAGTCCAACATGCACTGGGAACAGCTCTGACTCAATGCCAGCAATGCTAACTAAACTCCTGCTCCGCTTGTACAGAGACTGGATGGCCCCAAAAAAGGGCCACGTACTCTGTACTCCTGGAGGGTCCACCACAGGGCACCACGATGGGACATGGTCAAAAGCCTTCTTCAGGTCCACAAAACACATGTGGACCAAATGTGCAACCTCCCATGAACCCTCAAGCACCTGTAGAGGGTGTAGAGTTGGTCCAGTGTTCCTCGGCCAGGATGAATACCACACTGCTCTTTCTGAAGCTGAGGTACTATAACTATAGGCTCGGACTCTCCTCTCCAACACCCTGGCATAGGGTGGCTGAGGGAGGCTGAGGAGTGTGATCCCCCTGTAGTTGGAACACAGCCCGGTCTCCCTTCTTATGAAGGGGGACCACCACTCTAGCCTGCCAGTCCAGAGGCACTGTCCCCAAAAGTCATGCAATGTTCAAGAGGCGTGTCAGCCATGGCAGTGCCCACAACATCCAGAGACTTGAGGTACTTAGTGCGGATCTCACCCCCGAAGCCTTGTGACAGCGGAGTTCTTTGACCAGCTCGGTGAGATCAGCCTGGGTGATGAACGAGTCCAACTCCAAGTCCTTAGTCTCTGCTTCCACCAGGGAAGGCTACCCGATAGTGTCCCCTGTCGAGGTCAGCAGCTACCCAGCCCCACTGTAAGTGTTGGCGAAGCACTGCTTCTCTCTACTAAGGCAGTGTGGGCAGGTGCCAAACCCTGCTGGAAAATGAAATTAGCATGAAATCATGAAGCACTCTATATTTCTTGAGACTTTAGTCAGCAACAATCCAGTCCTTTTTTACTCTGGCCAAGGTAAAATGCTTCTGACATACTTTCAGAAGAGGCTTAAAACAAGGAAAATGACAGCTGTGGCCCGTGTCTTGGATATGTCTCTGTGTGGTGGGTCCTAAAAGCTCTGACCCCACCTACAGTCATCACCTTGTGAATCTCCTCCAAACTTTTGGTTTGCGTTTGCTTCACAATCCTCTTAAACCGTACTCCACCACTTCAACATCTAAGCTACACCCTTCCTCTGTGAAACTGTATATATACTGTATAAGCTTTATTATTTTTCATTTGGTGATGGTGCGCCCTTCTTTTAATTCCAATTGCTCATGATGTCCATATTACTGACTTAATTACTGACATAAATTAACTTCTCAAGGAATACCTAATTTGTTCATGTGCACCTGTATGGAAGTCTAACTGTACTCATTATGTGAATAAATGATCAGAAACCTGACAAAAAGGCATCAGTGTCATTATCAATAAATCCAGTACTTTTGCCCAATAGTGATCCTCCTGGAGATGGAAACAAAGACCTTGCAGCTGCTGCAGCCGCAAAGCAGGAGTGGTTTTAAAAACAAGCTGTACTGGTGAAATGTCACATGACGCATCTCTTAAAACAGTGCAAGAAATGCTTTTCTTCGATAGGTTGTCACGTTCAAATCCTCGCAAAAGCCCGTTTCTTCTCCCACACACAGAAACTCGTTAGGCTACTTCAAATAAGCCTGCATCCATGTGTACCCACGTCAGACGTTAAAAGAACAGCCACATCATGTGCAGAGACAAAGCTTGGAAACAAAAAGGAGACACATGCTGACATTTCTATAGCTGTGTTGGGATTAAAAAGGAGCTTTTACCAGCTTCTTTAAAAGCATCACTCCACTAATGTGTCCCGGCTTTATAAAAACACAGACAACTGTGGTGAGAACTGTCAGGTTTGTTTCTCTGGGTGCCAAGTGTGAGTAAATCGTGGAGAACAAACTGAAAAACACACCAAGGTGAATTGGGAGGAAAAATTATACATGGTTTCCAAGTTTTTTACCTTCAAAAATCTGAAATCTAAAGGTTTGCCTTTATATTCACCCATTTTACTCTGGAAATCCTAAATAAAATCTACCCACCCATTTTTGTTACCCAATTGTTCTTAGCAGGGTTGTTTCCAGTAGCATGAGAGACAGGTCCACCACAGTGCAACGCAAAGAGCCACAACCATACCTATGGGCAATTTAGTGGCTTATTAAGCAAGCATGCATGTTTTTGGACTGTGATGAAACTATAGAGAACTGATTTAAGCTCCATGCAGAAAGACTGTTGGACTGCAAACCTCCCATGAAAGTTAAAGTAGCGCTGTCTCTTTCTGTCACTTTCCACTTCAGAGTCTGCTGTGGATCCTGTAATGACATCTGAGGTTTTTTGAATACTTCTTTTGGAATCTTGTGCTCCAATTTCAGGATAACTTGCTTGGGCATCAAGACCTGGGCACATGTCCTCCTCCTCAAAATACCTTTGAAACCTCCATTAATCCCATTCCAGACTCAATTACTGCTACAATCTTCTTTCTGAAGGCCTAAGGAAGCTTTCTGGATCTCACCATGATGTTCACTCTCACTGAGACAGTCAGGAGCACGTCCAACTAAATGCTAAATGTTCCCATAATGTGCACCGGATGTGACCTGTGTGTACCTTTAGCCATTTTTTTAAAACTTCCATTAAGTGTACAAATTTTTTCACAACTGTATATATTAACTTATTGAAAAACCTCAGTAAGTTGAAAATAACTGTGTTAAATAAGGGGTTTTCTATACCACGTCGCTGCTTTTAAAGCAAGCTTACCAGACCATAGCACCTTCTTACATTAAGCATTATAAAGATTACTTAAAATTAGTTTTAGCCAAACACTTCAATCACTGTTTTCAAGCCAAATATACACTTTCCTAGGAGATAGTACAGAATAATGCAACTGGGATGTTTTCAGAGTAACTCCGTGAACAAATATACAAATTCCATAAAAAAACGTTGATGGGGGAACCATAAAGACATAGTATGAAAAATATGGACATGATTCAACCATTTTTAGGCCTAAAAATTAAGAAAATTCAAATAAAAACATTTGAAAACACTATAGAAACCCTGTTTAATCTTCGTTTGTACCTACATCAGTTGCCAAACTCCACGTTGATCCCATGTTTTAAGGAGTTTTGTAATTTATAATTTCTCACCCCTCTTGATGGGAACATCTCAGCCAGCTCATTAAGGTCTGCAGGACCCCCATTTGTAACTGCAAGCTCGTTAGCATAATTAGACCTGTACAGGTGTTTGTTTTACAGGTGCAAATTAAATGTCAATTTCATTTTTCACTACAATTTGAAAAAATATATATAAATAATTAAAGCCATTCCATTTAAATTTCCAGGGCATGTTTTACAATTAAGATGTTGTTTTGTTTTGTGTCTTACATCTGACCGAAGATCCTAATTAAATCTGCATATTTTGTTCTAAGCATAGTACCAAGACCTGAGAAGCAGCTCAGTTTACATTAAAGACCGAAAAACAAAAAGAAAAGAAAGCAAACCTGGACCAAAATACCAGCAACTCATCTAAAACTTACCAAAAAGTGAAAAGGCTACATTTTTCAAAACCTGTATATTCACCAAATAGCCT